CTACACCTGCTTTGCTCAGGAGGGAACACTTGTTGCAAGCAGGAAGAAAATGGCTCAGGCACATTCTATATCAACACATTGAGGGTTTGCTTGGTGCTTTTTTTCAATAAGACACCTTTTACATGATGCGGAATCTTTGCCTAAAATGGCTTCTTCAGGATCTTCTTGATTCCCTTATTTGGAGTTGTGCTCTCCAGTACAAATTTTGGTACTATTCCTGCAACCTCTAACAGTTTACTCTTCTTAGGCAATGTAGTGTCAGCTCTAGGATTAAAAGAAAAAATTATATTCTGTTACTGGTGAGATTTTTAATAATGACATAGTATGCATTACATGTAGCTTTATGAAAAACATGGCTTTTAATTTTAGAAATTCTGGGTATCTTCAGGAATACTTTGCAATGTAATCTTTCTGCCAGTGTTTTGATATATTCAGATTTCCATGTTTTCCCATGTACAAGTACTAACTGCTTCATACTTGCGTGCAAGTTAAGCCCAGTAATGTGGTCTCGTGCCAATGTTCACCTTTGCTTTTGTAACAGCAGTCAGAATGGTTTCTTGCCTGAGGCCAGTAATAGAAAAAAAAATCAGTTATATACACAAGATTCTTGCACAGAATGCATGGCACCTGTAGGTGCTGCTTCAGATGAGTGTTGGTTTTGGCTGTCATGGATGTTATATGGGTAGGTTCCTGAGGTTCCTTAAAATTTGGAATTAGAGTTGAAATCTATACGAACTTGGAGCTGTTCTTATTTCTATAATTGAAAATGACATTGATTTAAAAAAAAAATCACGTGTGAATTCAAAACTTAGTGGGCTATGTATTACACTGTAAATGTTAGAAGTTAATTTAGCTTTCAGACTGGGTTTGATCACTTTAGATCTCAGTGAACTAATCCATTTGTCCCTTATTCTGCACTTTGGTCATCTCACGTAATTCCTCTCCCCACAACTGGAATTTGTTCCTCTGGTCACCATCACTTGACTGTAACAACCAACAGGAGAGATTAAACTTGTTCATGGTATCGGGAAAAAACCGAGAAGGCAGAGAACTTGAAAACCATGGAAGTGTTTGATGTGACGGGGGTGTGGTATGTGTCTCTGCAGGATTCAGTTTTGAAGTACATGTAGATGATACTGTGCCTCTGTTTGGAGCTGTCTGTCACTGTGAGCAGACAGAATGGTCTTCACCTTCTTACAGTTTTGTGGGTATAACTTTGGTTTGCAGTTCCCTATGCAGGGTGTATTTGTCTGTATTTGGGGTGGGTTTGGTGAAGCTTTAGTGGAAGGTATTTTCTCACCTGCTTTCTAAGAGATGTCTGATCTGTTTCGTTTTTCTGTGAGTATGTAGCTTTTACTGGGAAAAAAAATCCAGTGCTACTGCACTGGAACAAGGACTTAGAATTTGATTGTGTTCCTTCTGTGAGGGATAAATCCTTTACTTTTGTTGTTGTGATAAATCCACATCAGATGTGGGCCTAAAGAGTCTGAAGTAAGGTGGGAAGAATCCAGGCTTTTGTACGTCTCTCTCATGTAGGAGAGGTACTAAGGCTGGTAGGAAGCTCCAGCGTAATGTTTTGTTGTTGTAAGGCACCAACCAGATCTTAAAAATAGGTGGGAGTTTTTTTTACTCTTTTTTCTGATATGCAGGCAATTCAGTAATCTCACTGTTTTAGTTAAAAACTTTCTTAAAAAACAACTCATTTATGTTCCATCTTGGATTCATTTGTAATGCATGAGTGAGATATCTCGGGGAAATCTGTCAAACTGTGTCAGTCTAGCCCAGTTAAAGCATAATTTTCTGGAGAACAAGGTTTTTATCTGATTTCTAAAGGATTGAGTTAAGAATGAGTGTATTAAAAAAATCCTAAGGATGTGCATTTTGTGTACTTTCAAGTTTTGTGAATGGGATCAGACTTCAGCAGTTGCCTGACTTGCTTTTTTATTTCCCTTTAGATTCTGGTTCTTTAAATTTGCAACAGCACTTGCAATTAGTGTTGGAGCTTTCTTCATTCCAGAGGGACCATTTACAACTGGTAAGGGAGTATTGTCTTCCACTGTATCGTGGTGCAATCATAACTGGTTTTAAAATGAAGCTAAGTGCATGCTGATGTCTTGTAGTTTTACTTTTAGCTGTGTAACTATAGCACTCCTCTGTTTAGGGACATGAAGACAAGGTAGTAAATTTATATGTGGTTCTGAACTGGTTTGTTACTTTATTTCTCTTCCAGTGTGGTTTTATGTAGGTATGGCTGGAGCATTCTGCTTTATTCTTATTCAGCTGGTCTTGCTTATTGACTTTGCCCACTCCTGGAATGAATCTTGGGTTGAAAAAATGGAGGAAGGGAACTCAAGATGCTGGTATGCAGGTAAGGGACTGTACTACAATCAAGTTTTAAATTTCATTGTGCATGATGTTAAATAAGTTATTCACAGACCAGTGCATTTTACCAGAGTGCAGAAGGGCTGCCTGGTGTGTAAGTGTCCCGTCTTCACATGGTTTGGTTCTGTGAGTTCTGATGTCTCGCTGTCCTTTTGATGTCAGGTGAAATGAGGGGGGCAGGGAGAATGGCAGCAGCCTCTGAGTAGTAAGGCTCTAATCCCTGGGAGCAGGGAGTCAGCTTTACATAGCAGAGAGCTGGCAACTGTAGATTTCGGTGTGGTTTTTTTAAGCCACAAGTTTTGTTACCCCTCAGTGCTGGTTAAAAGCCACGTAGCCCCTCACTGCTTCATGTTGAGTGCAAGCATCTCAAGTAGTGCCAGGGCAGGGAAGGAGAGTGCAGGTGGTCTCGCTGGAGAAACGGGGCGTTGGATGCAGTAGAGCATCTCAGGCGAGATACTCGAGGTGTTGCAGAAGACAGCACAGCCTGTCTTTGTGCAGTGGCCACTTTGCTCTTTAATGGTGTTAATAAGGTGGAATTTTGAAATAAGGTTTTGTTCTTCTGTTGGAGAAGTGGTTTTTCTGTTTTGTTAAGCTTTTGGCTGAAATGTGTGGTATAACTGTATTCCTTCGTACTTGCTCTTGGTTGCTGTTAGAGCAGTGGAGTATCAAGTATGGCTGCAGGTTTCCCAGTTACTGTATTTTCTTTTCAACACCTCAGAGCACTGAGACAAACTTACTCCCTTTACGTTTCAGTAGCCAGAGCTGCTCTCTAAATGTCATCAAAAGCTGATAGTTGTGCAATATTACTTAAATTTTAATACTCTCCATTATTAACCAGCTAACCTCTATTTTTGTCTTTCCACAGCTCTGCTGTCAGCTACAGCTGTCAATTACCTGCTGTCGCTGGTAGCTATTGTCTTGTTTTATGTGTATTACACTCATCCAGAAGGTTGTTCTGAGAACAAGACATTCATCAGTGTCAATATGCTGCTGTGTATTGGTGCCTCTGTAATGTCAATTCTGCCGAAGATTCAGGTATAGTTTTGGTTCTGTTTCACCTTTTAGGGTTTTTTTGCATTACCAGTCCCAGAAACCTATAATGTAATGGTGCCTGAGACTTTTAATTGCCTAACTGTGGTGTTTTGTGACTGCTTTGTACAGGAATCTCAGCCAAGATCGGGTTTGCTGCAGTCTTCTGTGATCACAGTTTATACGATGTATTTGACTTGGTCAGCCATGACTAATGAACCAGGTACGTAGAGCAGCAGTATGGGGCTTTTTGGGTAACCAGCTCAGCAGTAAATTGTCTTTCCCTCTTTGCAAGGCAATATTAGAATGGGGTAATATGTGTGCAAGTCAGAGGCAGGACTCCAGTTGGTGTTACAGAAAGTTGGAGTGGGTGGGGAGAACAATACGGAAGAAATAGTTCTTCCAAAGATAATGTGTTTTTTTTTACTTGCTCTTAACATTTATCCTATGGAAGAATTTCTACCTGTTACTGGCAGGATTGCAGTATTCTGAAGTTTTGATTTCATGTATTACCACAACTCCTCCAAGGTGCCTGGAAGCTTCACATCCCTACCACGTTCCACATTTCTTACCTGGTGACTGAGATGCTACTGATTTTATTTTTCTGAACCGAGGATTTAAAAAATATTTTCAATGTTTCTTCAGTCTGAAAACAGCTGAGCATTTAAAAAAGAAAAAAAAATCAGTGATTCAAATAAACTACCAAATACTGGGGTTTTTTTTTTTGGTGTTTTTAATTGGGCCTCTGGCCCTTTTAGTTATGGACAAGCGTCTGTGTAACAGCATACAGATGAGTTGGATGATTCCCTGCAGTAATTATGAAGCTGACTCTGTAGCATTCCTTTCCAGCTCTGAGATGACTCTGGTACCCCATCCATAGAGTGTGTTTGTCAAACTTGTTTTCTAGTGTAAGAACTTCTAAAGCTTCATATGCAGAGCATTTTAATTTTGGTTTACCTAATTAGATGCGATGGAAGAGTGGAGCACTTGATGCATATCTTACATATGTTTAAAATCCTTTTATCTGCTCAAAGAGACAGATTTTTATGCCATGTGCTGTCATTTGCCTGCTGTAGAGAGACTCAATAGGGTAAAATTGGTTTAAAAAGCTTTTTTACTTCAAGCTTGTCAGGGTCACAAAGTTCCTTTTTATAAATGTGTGTTGAGTGTGGAGATGGGCTGTTCCATACCTGTTTTGTGTAAGCTGTGCTGCGATCCCCCCTCAGACAGGCGCTGTAACCCCAGCTTGCTGAGCATCATCGGTTACAACAGCACCACCGTGCCGGCCCAAGGGCAGGTGGTCCAGTGGTGGGATGCACAAGGAATTGTAGGACTGGTTTTGTTTCTGCTGTGTGTTCTCTACTCAAGGTAAGACGCCTTTAAAAAATGCACGTGAGCTCGTGTTACTTCTCGTTGTCAGATACTAACTAGTGTTTGTTTGGGTGACTGTCCCATACAGCATCCGCACGTCCAACAACAGCCAGGTCAACAAGCTGATGCTGACCAGCGATGAGTCGACTCTGATAGAGGATGGGATGCCCAGGAGTGACGGCTCCCTTGATGATGGAGATGATGTTCACCGAGCCATAGACAACGAGAGGGATGGAGTTACTTACAGTTACTCCTTCTTTCATTTCATGCTTTTCCTGGCATCCCTCTATATCATGATGACTCTTACCAACTGGTACAGGTATCTACATTTGATGACACATTTTGCCAATACTGAGTGTATGAGATGCAGCCTTTAGCTGGATCAGGAGGCCTAAGTTGTGTGCTGTGAGGAATGTAGGTCTTCAGTGGCACTTCTCAAGGGGAGTGTGCTGTTTGACCTACATTAAATGAATTGTATTTCAAAACTGGAGTAGCCAACCTTGTTCACAAGTGCTTTTCATATTTTCTAGGCTAATACTCATGAACTGTTGAATTGTGTTTTAAGCAAACAGGATAGTGTCTTAAATTCTAAAGCAAATAGATTGGCTTACAGGTTCCTCCCAAGTATTTTGTTTTCTTGGAAGCTTTTACTAAATATTTTTTTGGATGTTGTTGCTTTCCACCTTCCTGCAGCACCAGCTTGCAAGAGGTGTTCTTGTGCAGGCTGGCGTGAGCTGCCGGGAAGAAGGGTAGAGATGTTCTTCTGACACATGGAGCTGAAGTGAAAACCATCTGCTGTGAAAACTGTTGAAAGGCAGCTCACGACACACACTGAAACAACACCCGCAAGTTATCTTTTTTCTTTTCCCTCTCTGACAGTCCGGATTCCTCCTACGAGACAATGACGAGCAAGTGGCCATCTGTCTGGGTGAAGATCTCTTCCAGCTGGATCGGCATCGTGCTGTACGTGTGGACGCTGGTGGCTCCCCTGGTTCTCACAAACCGTGACTTCGACTGAGGGGTGCCGCTGGGCGGGGCGGCTGCGCTGGCTCCGCCCCGTAGCCAGCAGTGCCCCCCCAGAGCCGCGCGGCTGTAAATACCTGTGTGTGCCTGTGCTGTCCTGTAGCATTCCCGGCTTTGTTCTGCACGACTTCCTTGAATCATGTCTTCTGTCATTTCACTAAAAGACTTTTTCTAGCTGAGCTCAGTGACTGTGGCTACAATGATGATTTTCATAGGGTTGCTCCTAGACAGAGAGCTTTGGGAGCACTAGATCTGTGATCGAGACCTCTTGGAAGTAGTTTTTTTTCCCCCTTAATTGCATTAAATACTTGTAGGAAAAGAAGCGCAAGTGTTAACTAGGGTGACAAAACAGTATTAGGTCAGGCTTTGCAGGCAAAGGAGGGGCTGCCTTTTTTGAATGATCCCTGTTGCCTTGATTCCAAAGTCAGTCTTCAGTAAGCATTGTTAGACTCAAAATTGTGCGTGTTGGAGTTTCTTGGACACTGTGCAGCATTTTGGCACCAACAGCCCGACCTCCTCCTGTGCCGAGGGCAGCAGTAGCTTTAGCACAGACGTCACGTGGGGGAGCTTGCGCCCGAGGCTGCGCAGGAGCCATGTGCTCCTTGGTGCTGCTGGGTCTGGCAGACAGGAGGGCACACACCCTGGGGAAAAACATCGTGGTAGCAGATGCTCAGAAGCATGTTTTTAAGACACCTGTTTACAATGTGCATCTATGTGGTGTTATAATTTTTATTTTGAAGTAGCTTAATGGGATATCTGTGCTGTAATTTACTGCTGTTTTGTGTGCCACCTTCGTTCTTGGCTGAGCTACAATCACTGAGCTTGCAAGGCGCCAAGTGGTGGAAACGGTGAGCCCTTCAGAGGAGTTTTTTGAGTATTGTGGTTTAAAAATTGTGGAGGAAAAGGAGCATTGGGATTGCAGTAACTCGAGGAGGTTTGCATTACTGAGGCTTTCACAGAAGTGTCTCTTGGTACATTTGGGGCTCTAAATTTTGAAGCCTTTTCATGTATTGGGTATTTTGCTTGTTGTCCAGTGCCAGATTTGGACTTGAGCCTGGAAAGTCTAAATCTAGGTGCAAGACATGAATTTGATGAAAATACTGTCTAGTTCCTGTGCAGTTATGAAATCTGAAATGCTTTTGTGCTTGCTGCTTTGTAACTGAGGTGTGAGCTGCATTATTTATCACCCTCTGTTGTTTGCTACCACCTGAGCCTAAAGCAGCCTGACAGTGGCTCCACCAGATTCTCGCTGGTCTGTTACCGTGGTGGTTATACTGTAAACTCCTGTTGCTAATTATTCTCCAAGCTTCTATTTTAATTCTGCACTTAAACACTGACATTTGCCACAGAAGCCCGACACATCAATCAGACTTGAGATGGAATGACCAGTAGAGGCTTGTGATAATTTGGAATATGTTGTTACCTTATTAATAAATAAATAAATTTGGATGAAGATGTCCAATGTGTCTCTTGCTCCTGATGGGTGTGGATAGTGCAGGCTCTGTGCTGTATTCTCCTCTATTTTATAGCCCCTGTGGCAGGTGCTGGTACCCCAGTGAGGTAGCTGCTTCTTGGCTCTGGGGTGATCCCATGTCACCTGTGTGAGAGCACCCAGCTGTCTCAAAACAAGGGCAGTGCTTCATGCTGCTAACTGCACTCCTGCCTCAGCTGCTGTGCTGTTGCACCTGGGTTTGGGGTGGGGGTAGAGCACCTGTGCCCCAGTTACACTGCAGGAGCTCTTGGGTCCTGTGCCTCGTCGTGGAGCTGGGGAGATGGCCGGCTGTGGCTGTAGATCCGGCAGCTCCTGGTACAAGTGGGTAACTACTCCTTTGCAAAAAAAAGGTATTTTTGAATGCAGGGCTGTGGTGGTGCAAGGCATCTTTCCTTTTGCATTTATGAAGGTAGTAAAACCCAGTTTCTCCCTTCCCTGGAACATCTTACTAAACAGGAGCTTATGTGCAGTTTTCAGGGCAGAGCACAAAGAAAATTCCTCAGTACAGCTTAACTTACTGTTTTTACTCAGAAGTCAGGGTGAGATGCTGTAGTTCAAGGTGTGGCAGCTGCACCTTCACCTCCTGCTGCAGCAGCCCCTCTACCATTCAGCTGTGCAGCACAACCCCACCAGGCTCACCTGATTGAATGAAGGTGGAAGTGCACTAGAAGGAACACTGGGAACAGCTGCCAGTAACAGCAGAGCTCTTCCAGTGGAAGGAAAACTGATGCAAAGGAGAAAATTATTCCTTTGTGTTGTACTAAAGGAAAAGTTTGTTACATTAGTTGCTTGTTGTGGAGGCTTAGAAGTAAACTTTGAAAGCAATGGAACTATTAACACATGAAAAAGAGGCTGTTAAATCCACACCCTCCTGGGAGAGAGGAGAAAAGTTTTAAGTAAGTATCACACTGAAGTAACATTTATTTCATCAGAGTAGATGGTCCAAGTTAAAAGTACTCATGCAGTCGAGGGGCCTGGTGGCTTTAAAGATCATACCCCCAGTTTGTGCTGTTTGAGCACTTCCACTGAAGTGAAAGTAAGGCAGAACCAAGATTTAGCAAGGTACAGGCACTTTGTTCCCAGTTCAAGCAGGGAAAAAAAAAGCCTACATCAGGTCCTGGTCCCCCCCACCCCAAAAAAGCCTCATGATTGTTAAACGAAACCTTGTACAAAATAGAAAAAAAACTAAAATACAGAAAGTCAAGTGCTCCCTAACCATATGCTAGCAGTTTACATCCATTGTATGTAACACCAGAAGAAATCAGAAATCACACCCTTGTTGACAGTAACAAGGGTTCTGTTACCTGGGATATTTAGGGGTGTGTCATACCAAGTAACAGTCAGACTTGGTATTGCCAACCGTGCTTGACAGCTTTGTGTAACCCCCCCAGTTAAACAACTGCTTGTGGGAAGTACCATAGCAAAGGTATTCTGGATTCCACGTTACCTGGTTACATAAAACAGTGATTTACAAAAAACTCATATACCAAACAATATTCTAAATAAATAGTTCATCTCCGTGGCTATGTACAGAGTCCCCACACTGTGCTAGTTGTCCAGGAAGTACGTGTCCGTGTCCATGGGGGCGGGGGCGAGCTCGCACAGGTAGAAGAGGGTGGCCTCGCTCGCCTCGGCCTCCGTCAGTGGCTCCCATCCCACCCGCGTTGCCCCCGCCCCCCGTCGGTGCCCCCAGCCGCACCAGCTTGCTCTGGGTGGGCTCGGGCTCCAGGCTGGTCTCCAGCAGCTCGTCCACCTCCGGGGGCTTGTCGGTGGAGGGCGGGGTTCCCACCGCGGAGCTCCCGCTCTCCACCTCGGCGCCCGGGTTCCCGTCGAAGAAGGCAAGGAGGGGGAAGGCCGTGTACTGGATGAGCCGCTTGTCTGCAGTGAAAGAGCCCCAAAAAGGCATCAGCTCACCTGCCTCCACACACAAAAACAAAAAACCAAAACCCAACCCACCCGTTTTATTTAAAGCATAAAACCCATCACATTGAGTGCATGATTAAGGAATTGTGACATCGATGCGTACCATTTTTTGTTCAGATTCTCCTGCAAAAAACAGTTTCCCTGCATCTGGTGCAGCACCAAAAACCCAAAAAGCAAATACAGTACAGATGCTGTTTGGGTTATTTGCTTATCAGCATGACACAAAACCAGACGAAGAGCAAATAACCAAGATGGTTTTTAGAATGATGTTCAATTCTCCAACTGCTTCAATGAAACACTACAACTAACCTGATTTGGGCTTAGAAACTTGTGTTTCCTGTGAAGCCTCTGGACCAGTGTTATTCCTGGTGGTTTCTATTCCCTTTGTCTCCATCTGGAAGTAGAAGGAGAAGCTTAAACACGTGCTTGAAGCCTTTTCCAATGCCCCTAGAACACAGCTGACCGACTACTAGAAAAAACTAGGTTTTTATTTGTGAAGGGATGCAGTGTTACCAGTTACCTATACTAACAGACCTTGGCTGAGAAAATATGAAATGGAAACACAGGCTTACTCAAGCAAGAATCAAAACTAACACTCAAACGAACAGGACAAATTCAAAGAGCTAGATGTTTACTCTACTGCTTATTCTTGCGTTTCTTCTCCCACCAGACAACACAGATGGAACCACTCTGACAAAGCATGTACCATGTTTGCAAGTACTAAAATCTCAGAGGACACAGGGTTCAAGAGACTGCTACAATGCACAGGTATTGGCCTCAAGGTGACAAGAGTTTTAAAGAACGTAATTAATTAGGGTGCTTTTCCTTTTTCTGTTTGAAACCTAACAAATGGAATGAATTCAGGTGCAGCGCTCCTACTCTCATGAAGGTCTTCAATGCCACAGCATGACAAAAGTGCCAATGACACCGGTAAAGAAAAGAGTAAAGGATTAATAAAAGTTTGCATCTCACTACTGCGTACACTGAGCAATGGATTTAAGACTTACTTTGGCATTAGTGATATGATCTGTGGGATTCATCTGCACGGAGCTTGTAAAAAGCTGAGTAAGACAAAACACATCCAGTTTTAGGTATCTCAGTGGTGTTATAAGGAATACAAGAACATCACATCTGCATGTGCGAGAATAATCCCTATACTTGAAGTTCTCACCCTCCGTCAGGATTAGAGTTTATTTACAGGTATTTATCACTACTGCAGAGAAAACCTGGAATCCCACAAACCTCAGACACAAAGGAAACAACTGTGTGACAACTCACTTGGACTAACACCATTTGCTGCAGTCCTAAAATACCAACTACTCCTAACGCTGCTGCACGGAGAATCCTGTGCACAATAATGAAGAAGGACCCTGATTACGTTTGCAAGTGACACGGAAGTTGAAGGACTCCATCGACACATGGGAGAGCAGAGCTGCTGCCAAGAGGGACAACACCCAACGCGTGTAGGACACAATAACCTCGGGCATTGGCCCAGGTCAGGCACCGAAGGGTGAGGGAGCAGCTCCTCAGGGAAGGGCCTGGGAGTCACGCCAGACAACAGTCCACTAGAGGCCAGCAACAGGGCCTGCTCCAGGCAGAGCACAGGCAGGAGGTCAGTGGGAGCCATTATTCCTCTCTGCACAGCACCCAAGCCCACCTGGGAAGAGTGTCCAGTTTCAGGCCTCGCAGTTCAAGAGTCTTCAAACTAGAGGGCATCTAGAGGGGGCTTATGACAAACAAGAGGCTGAGGGAGTGTGGCTAATCTTGTCTGGAAAGGGCAGACAAGGGAGGGTAACTGTGCTCTTCCACTGATTCTGAAGAGGTGTTGTGGAGAAGACAAACTCCACAGAGGTGGAGGCAAGAGCTACAAGCCGCAGCAGGGAAAACTGACTGACATCAGGAAATTCTCCAAAAAGCAGAGTCAAGCACTGGAACAGGCACCCCAGAGGCTGTGGGATCTCCCATCTTCAGAGATTTCAGAGTTTAAGTAAGTCAACAAGGTCCTGAGCAACATGATCCAACTTTCAAGCTAGCCCTGCTTTGAGCAAGAGGGCTGGACTAGAGCATACGCACACGTCCCTTCCAGACCAGTCTAGACCATTCTACTTGACACAAATATGAAGAGAAACTGAGAACATGCACATACTCTTAAGTAACATGAAATGGCACAGAAACTTGTAAAATAAATGCCAAGAGCCTTTCTAACTCCAGTTCATTGACAAGACCCCCACAGATGATGGGCTGGGCTATTTCAAAGCAAGAGCATTAACTTAACCGGTGTCTGAGTTCACACAGCAACAAATATAAAATTTAATTATTTAATTAAGAAAGTCATTCTTCAATCAGTTTACCTGAGCAGCAGTGCAGCACTGAGAATTATACTGGTGGCCCAGAAACACATATTCACAATTACTTTCAACTTCCCTGTTTTAAAGGGAAGAAAGGCAAAAACCCACCCTGTTGAGTTTTAAGTCTATTTTAAACAGTAATAATCCACATAAGTATTTTCTGTAGCATATACAAATACTTAAACAGTGAAAAATTACATCGACCAGGAGATCTGGATCTATGCTGAACTGTCGTCCTGATAACAGAGCTTGGAAGTCCTCTAAACTGCAGTCGATACTGTCAAGGTAATCCAGAAGTTCAACTCTAGAAGACAAAAGATATTTTAGTGCTATATCCCATAACAGAAGAGAAATCCACAACTGAGCTTTACATAATTGTGCTACACGCACTGAAACATCTTCACCAGAACTAGAATGAACAAAGTCTTTCACTAGAAACCACCTCTGGAAATAAAATGAGAACTTTTAGCCTCTTTAGAAAAGAACTCAAGTAAAGGAGACAGGTGCTCTGAAAAGAGTCACATCAACAGAACAGTACAACACAACATCAGCAGAGATGTGACTCCTGCATCCAGGTAGCCCTAGGGAGTCCCATCCGCCTGCAGGAGCTAGCAGCCAAATGCTGATGGTTTAAATGATGACATCCACAACAGGATGCTGTCAGATTACACACCCCAACTCATTCCCTTCACGACAAAAACCAGAAGTCCTATCTTAAAATAGCAGGACCTTTAGAGACTAGCTAGAGTCAAGGTGAACTATAAATTCAAAGTTCCTTATAGGAACTCCTATTCTGTTCTTTTTGCTTCAGTTAGACAATCAGTTCTAATACTTCAAAAACTAAGGAGCAGGCTACTCACTTTCCAAGAAGGTTTATATTCTGTGAAATGACTCCATTCTCACTGAGTATGGAATCCATCATGGAGACGGGATCCTCTGCAGTCAGAGCTGACTGGTTATTCAGCTGTACAGCACTGGACATGAGTGGGCTCGTGCCGTCACTGACAGGGCTGAGGGGATCATTCGCTGGGACAGCAACTGATTCTGTGCTTTTATCCCCTTGAATTACAGGGGCGTATTCTTCTTCATCATCTTCCACAATGACAATATCAGGAGAATTACTACAGCTGCAATATGAGACAAACAAATCAAAGCATTTCATGCACCCACTGAAATAGTCCCTATTCCACAGGTTTAGTCACTTCTTTTAGTTGAGTACTATAAGGAAATAAACTTTCCTACTGCTTCCCAATACAAAACACAGCAACGTCCTCTGAAGATCCACCTCCCACTGACAGGGTGCTGTGGTGCCCAACACAGCAAGCACAGCTCAGCTGGCAGGCAGACACTGTTATGCCAGACCACAGTAACTACTACAAAGATACAGAACACTGGTATGTTGTGTCAGAACAGCCCTAAGCTGGCATGTAAGTGTGTAATGTATGTACACAGTGGACCCAAGCCTATGAGGCCATCAGACTAGACAGACAAGATCTACTTTGCATGTTTCCTGTTGAAGAGAATCAATTCTGAGCATCCGTAACATAAAGGATCTCAGTCAACAGTGCTGTAGTTAATTAACTTTGTTATGTATACCAGGAAGGCAATCTAAAAACCGGAAAATCTCAAATAATTTGCTTAAGTAGCTGTTCGTTGTGCTGCCTATCACAGCCTTATCTTCAAAGCTTTTCTATCAAAAAATGCATTCCCAGACATCAGCTGAGCAAGGAGAATGGTACTAGTTAAGCACAAGCTAGAGATATCTACGCTTTATTCTTTCAGTCATAATACAAGACCTACCAATATAATGCAGCTCAAGAAGAGAGCTACATCTCAGTCCCTGGCCCAAGTTTCAACTGCTCATAGCTGAAAGATGAACTACTTCTGTAGCACAGACAGGAAGGAACATGGCCACAGAACACTTTGGACTGAAAAAAACAGCCCTGAAATTAACTGGCTTAATAAAGTTCAAAGACCATCTTAGCACCTGACAAACAGTACATGCAAATTCATCTCCATTCAAAAAAAACAACTTGTAAAAACAAGGGAAGTGATTCCTGTCTCTGTTTGTGGTACCCTTCTCTGATAAAGGCCAAACCTTTGAGCACTGAAGGGGAAGAGATCCCAGAGCATGCCCATTATTGGGTGAGTGGTTGTGCATTTTGGGTCATCACCCCTGAAATGTAAACTTCGGTCACCTGCAGCCACCATCAGTGCCATATTAGATGAGAGACTCCAGGACAGTATGCATAACCAGGAGCAAGAAGACACCACTTAACTCTGTTTTTTGAAAAGTAGCATATTTAACAAGAGTGCAATAATACCAACTGCTTCTCACTAGATTCTATCCTCAGCATACTACAGCTTCAACAGACAATTAATTATTTGGAACAAATTCAGAGTCAATAAATCAGAACCTAGTACGAATTCACAGATGAACCTTCTGTATGTGCAGGAATACCAAATAATTCTGACCACTTCACTGAAGAAAAAACAAACCTTAAGACATCCAAACTACTGCATATTCTATAACACTTACAGCCAATTATCTACAGACATATTTCTAGGGACTTCTTACTTGGAAGAATCTGAAGTGATATCTTCACTTGTTTCTGGTGTAATGGGAAGACTTTCTTCATTGCCCATGGGATTTTCTTCATCACCCACATCCTCAGTGACATCATAAATGATGATGTCATCTGAAATCTGTTCCCTTTGTTTTATGCCTTCATTTCTGTTGAGAGGTACCTGAGAATTATTTTAAAGAGAGTTAGGGGACAGAAGGACAATGAGCATGCATTCTGACAGTTAGCATGACAATGATTCTGTTCTAGAGAGGTGTAAGAGCTCTCCTGCACCTCAGAGATTAGCAGCTGTTTGTATAGTTTTGCATTTAATAGAAAAAAAATACAAATAAATGAACAAGGAGAATACCAGCTACAGAAAATTAAATGTCTGACAAATACTATAGGCATAGAAATAGAAATATTCTAGCACCGTCAGCAAAAGCAACAAAAAAGCTGTGACAACAGGACTACACAAGAACTAAAAAAAAAGCCCAAAAAACTCGACCATCATTTAAATAGTACTTTGTTATAAAGCTATTAATTCTATTGCCATGCTACAGCACTCATTCTATCCATTTCCCTAGCAGCCACTGTTTGGGCAGCAGGAAACAGTTTTCAGTGGCACGACACACTGAAGTGGCACTGGAACTCGACATGATTTTGCTGGTTGGATGCTGCCCTGCAGAGCAACATGCTGGATTCCTGTTCCTGTGTGGGGCTAGGGGCGCCTGACTACCAGAGAGGGCAACACAACAGGCACATGCTGTTCCTAACAGCAGCATTATTAAAAGCAAACTACGTTCAGTAGGATCACATCAAGCTGTACTTAATACACAGGTAACTCGCTTACATGTGCTTCTATTGGCACGTGAATAGTGATTACCAACATACTTGTCTCCTGAAAAATGTATGGCGTCATCACTTCTAGAATCTGATAGCTCTCAGTACACAGCCATGTCTCATTCCCCATATGACAAGCTAGCAGATCTGTCTGCCCCCCTTCCCTCCTTCCTCCATCATAACAAACAGTATGTATAAAAGGAAACCTACATGGTGATTACTGTCAGACGGTTCTTTCACAATTTTTTGAAACACATTCGACTTTGTAGGTCCATTAGTGTTCAGAAGTAGAGGCCTAAATCAGGAGTACAGAAAGAAAGCCATCACAAAATTAATTCTTCAGTTTCAGTCAAGAAAACCTGTCAGTGTGCCGACTGGACAGCAAGGTTTCCAGGTCGTATTCACCTCTTGCGTTTCAGGCTCACTAGCTGGTTGTTCCGCACCAGGGTGACGATGAACTGCACGATCTGCAAGGGAAAGAACAGCACCGTCAGTCCTCGGCTCTCACCACACCTTCTAACAGGAGACTTCAGTAACACATATACATAAACAGCAGAGTATTTATTCTGTGTAGTAATTCTCATACAGAGCTGTTTGGAAAAGTTAAAAAAAGGACAAAGAACAGAGGAAGGCTTTTCACATGGCAGGCAGTAAAAGCACTTCCACACATCATACAGTATTCAAACTAGTAGGACAATTCTAATAAGCAATAAGACAAGGCACACAGGGGTGTTGACTGTATGCATAACCTCTATCTGTATACATAACCTCCACCCATAAATAGTTGGTCTGGTGAAAGGTATTTTTGACAGAGTCAGAAAAACTTACATGTACACCTGACAGCATTATCAGCTGTTTTTCCTTTTCAATGTTAGGCCTTCTCCCCTTCTGCTTTACATTTAAGGATTAAATGTACCTATCTGGCTTGAATAAACTGAAAAACCCAACAGTAAGTCTCTGTTACAAGGCCACTTTCAGTGTTGCTGTTTCTAATAAAGTCTGTAAGATCTTTGCATTTACATCAGGTTTTGTAGCTCATAAATCCATCTGTTAAACTAACCTAAGCTAACATATTATCAGTGGGTTCCAGTCAATAATCTCTTCTTCTGTACCCTCAGTGGGTCAGTAGCAGGACAGGAGTGAATTTCCAACAGAGAACTTTGTAATTCTTGGCATGAGAAAGAGTCTTTTCCTGAGACCGTGCAACACAGAATATTAGTCATCTGATTCCCGAAGTAATAAAAAATGGATGGACCATTGTAAGGGTACCTTCATGAATGATGCATAATGTTCGTGAACCTCTTTCTTTGAAAACGTTTACCCAAGTTTGGCCTTATCTTCTGCTTAAGGCAGTGAAATACGCTGAATATTTGATACAGATTGCTCACTTATACCACCCTATGTTTTCTATTAAAGACTTTTCACACCCTAAAAAACACGAAGAGTGAGTGTACAGTGAGGCAACGTGTCACTGCTCCTGAAGCACTCACTCATTCACATACAAGGCTGGAACGAAGCCTTACCTTACGAATAACTTGCTGTTGTTGCAAGTGTTTTGCTCTCAGTTCTGCCACTTCCCTCCAAAGGGATTCATTCTCCCTGTTTGAAAAGGATGATTTAAAGGTCAAGCTAAAACTGTTTAAAGATATTTACATTAATAATTTTTGTTAAAGATTTGCTGGCTCTTTAAAATGTGTTTTTAGACTGGGGAGTGGGGGGAGTCTGTCAGCAGCCTTGGCAAATAATTACAAAATGGAGACCCCAACGACAGCCTGCAGAGAACTTCCAACCCCCTAAAACTAAAGAAAAAAAAAATCCTAACTCTGGCAATATTTATCACACATATATTCAGCATTTAAAATTAACTATTTTGTTTCATTTCCCATAATAAAATTACCCTCCCCTCTTCCCCCTTGTCATTAAAACTTAAGGAATTAAATTTAAAAACAGTAAGATAAAAATCAAGCATCCAGCTGCTTTCTGGCAGCAGCAAAGAACCAAAGAGCATAAGAATCACGTTTCCCCTCACCACGAAACTAGAGAGCTCTTCAGTGGTGTCCAGTCAGTCTGTCCCTCTCACACAGCTCTGCCAGACACAAGCCGCCCGACAGCAGCAGGTACCTGCATCCTGACAGCATCTGGACAGAGCAAGCTCTCAAGTCACAGCAGCTGCAGCTCATCCTAACAGCTGCCCCTTTCACCCCCAGTCATGGGGCACATTAGAGACCAAAACCAGGAGTGCAGCAGAGACAGTTGTTCTCAGGAAATGCTGAAAAACGCCGTTTTAAAATCCTTGATTGGTCCAGCACTCACAGGAGTCCAGTTACTGTGACAGTGTAAAAGCTGCTGTGAAGTGGCCAGTGCTATCTCATCCACAAACTCATGCTTGTTTCCAGTAGCAGAAAGCCCATTAAGAGGTAGATAATAGTGAAAGCTTCAATGAATATGGGAAAACACACCACTCTCCTCACTTTTCAGTTTAGTTTTCAACACAGATGTATGCCAAAAAAGGAGAAAATCTTCTCCACCAGTGTTTGGGTTTTTAGGAAACCCGAATCCCAGTTTTCAGAAAGATTTTTATGCACATTGTGATGAAGCTTATCACTCACTTCTCAAAGTCCTCCTATGCCCAACATAAAATTTTAGAGTACAGTACCATCACAAACTTAACTGAGGTTGGGAATTTTGAGCTTTCTCAATTTCTCATCAGCATTATTAACATGTTTTGTAGGACTGGGTCTCCCGATTTAGCTCCATTTTCTACCTCAATCATTTTAATTTCATTGGACAACCATAGGGATATTAAAGGCCAACCATTCTATCTTCTCATGTCTACAAACTGTCTGGTCATTAGCAAGTGGATGTCATTCCAGCCCTAACCAGCACTGCTCTGGATCTGACAGCCTTCTGAAGTTCCTCCCAGTCCAAATGAGTCTCTGATTCAAACAGGGTGTATATGAACATTTTTAGTCTAGACTGGCCAGATTCTAAGTCTCTTCCTAGGCAAAACAAGTTTTCTCCAAATATTCTACTACTCAAGTAATCTGAACTGAAGACTAGAAATTACAGGATTTACTTCTTAAAACGTGACCTAGTCAGTGAATTCTGACACAAAGGTACACGACCATTTATGTAAGTTAAGGAATTCTGAGGCAGAGATACTGTTGGGGCACTGTGGCTTACAGTGCATGAGCTTATGCTCAAGGTCAGGCTTGATGGGGCTCTGAGCAAGCTGATCTAGTGGGGGATGTCCTTGCTTACTGCAGGGAGGCTGGACTAGATGACTTTCCAACTCAAGGCATCCTACCATTCTATGATCATTTATCCTGTCTCTATATACATACTCCAAAGGATTGAGTAATTTGTGAAACATTTATCTTGCTGTTGCAGAGTTCCTAATCACTAAATAGGTAAAAATCCAATTCTAAAAATACTCTGTTTACATTCAGATTTTAGATTCTGTACCTCTGTTGCAGAGGTAATTAATGAATTTCCAAATTATATTTAACAGATTTTCATAGGCATTAACTCTTCTGCAATTTTTAGCAGTGGGGAAATGAAGATGACAACAGGAAAATAAAAAGCAATGAGCAAAGACATTAATTGCACTAAGAAAGTATCAGAAGCAATTTCCACAAATGAAACTGCCTCAAACTAAACACAAAAACTACTTCAAACATGAAGACTTAAAGCAGCACACTTTATGCTAAGAGCAGAGCTGAATGTCAGTCTCAGCAGCATGTACGGAACTATAACTAAAGGTGTTACTTAACCCACTACCAGACAGCTCTTTCAACACCAACATTGCCTATTATATTCAGATTTATCAAAATATTCAATTTTTAATGCAATTCTTTTACTGAAATTTGTTTTCCAAAAGCAATATTTGAAGTTAGGCAGTAAGAAAGCATGAGAAACAAAAGCAGGTCTTTGTGTGATACCAATTACCAGGATTACTCAATTTTAGGCATCAGTTGCTGATGGAGCAACTTACTTCTTCAAAGCAGAAAAGCGAGATTCAATAGTCTCTTGTTTAATTTGCACCTTTTGAGCACTACTAATTATTTTGGAGAGATCTTCCTGACGTATCCTGTTTTCTTCAGGTCTTGAAGACGAAACCTGAAAAAGATTAGAATCCAGACACAACACTTGGCTTTGTTCATTGTTAACTATTATTTTCTTTTGGTGATCAAATATATTTTCTTCTAGTACTGATAAACTATGCACTCAAGTTAATAAGCCAACAATCAAATAAAAAAAAAAAAAACACCACAAACACAGAAATGTTCTCTTGCAGCCATCGCTACATTAGCTTTAATTTTTTCCAAACATTCGTGTACATACTGATTCTTACGCATTCTCCTCAGTACTCTACTTGATTGTAAGTGCTTCACAATAACCGAATGCCAACAAGCAGATCCCTCTCACCACAGTTTAACTTGCTGTGTTCCTGTTCGATGTCTCTATTTACCTGATCCCAGTAACGGCAGAGCACATTTCAGAATCGGACTCAGCAGCAAAACAAAGATGTTTATAGGTCTGCCTCCTGTTCTCCTTGGTGGAGTTTAATGCTTACAGGGGCTTTGTTCTGAAACAAGCTCCACAACAAGCAGATGGTTATATGACTGATGGTAAAGTTAAAGCATGCTCTGCTTTATTCTAATATCTATTTGAAAAATGTTGTATTTGCACAATTCACTCATTTTTGCCATCTGTGAAACACTGTACTGACAGCAAATCAGGTTAAAGAAGCCTAATGAAATCCCCCCAAACATCTTGAAGCAAGTGAAGATACATAAGAGCAGCGCAGTTTGCTTCCTCAAACTCCAAACTTATTTGCATGCACAATCCTGAAATTAAACTTGGTGTGAACTTTGCTATTCATCCACACTTACTAGTACAGGTTTTCCACGTACTGAGTTTTCACTAACCTTCCTTTTAATGTGTTCCAACAAGTCCTCCCGGCCCTGCTTAAAATACGGGTGCTGAAACTCTACTGGACCATCTCGCTCCAGTTTGACAAACCCAGAATCCACCTGGACAACTTTACGGAAGCCATCTTTAAAAAAGAAATAGAAACAGAACAAAAAAACTCTTAAAACGGGCATTAAGAAATCCAAGCCATGCTGTTCCAACTATCCTGATACCTGTTTTTGAGGATGAGACAGTATCCTGGTTGCAGAAAACATGGGCACTGCTCAAAGGAAATCATCTGTAACTAAACACATACATATAGGACCTAGAACTACACAAGAAAGCAAAACCCAAGAACTTACACATGTTTAACTGTCTGACAAAGCTTGCCATGTTGTTGTGCTTGAAGTACTTGGGAAGAATCTCTTTTGCGAAGGTCTGTTCATCCAACACCAGGAAACTCTGGCCATTCTAAAATGAGAGAGACACATTAAGCTACTTAAAGACTACTGCAGAAAACACGCTGGGCTTTTAGAATTAATCACCAGATAGGAATGTTTCCTTTGTGCACGCAGTACGTAAGTGATCTGCTTGCCTACCATTTTCCACAACAGAAAGTGTACAAACCCTGCAGCTGCAGAGCAACAGGATCACTGCTCTAGCTTCCATCGGTACCTGGAGGGTAACATCTCTACCCTTACTCACTGCTTCCTCAAGAAATAAAATATTTACCAACAAATACCACAGTTTCTACAGAACAATACTACCACTTTTGTACATAGTTTCAAAGTCTTTGGAAGGAATCTAACACCAGCTCAGAGACCCTGCTGCTTTCTAGCATAAAATCGTTAGTTACACAGGACTTGTAGAGCATGTGGAGCTGCCAAAGAGCTGAGGGTGTCCACTAGTTTTGGAGTTACCACAAAGGTAACCACCCATGGCAATATCCTGCCCCCCTGCCCCAATCCTCACAGATGCTGAGTGTGAGTGAAGACTGGTATTTTATTCCATCCACAGACTTTGATTAAAACAGAAGGCTCAGCTCTTTCTTCTTCTGTGACTGTGCTCTGTTAACTAAAGGACAAATACTTGCCAGAATCCAGATTAGCTACTGCAAAATGGTTTAGCTTTTGCCTGTACACCCACCATACTCTCATCCTGTATTTCATGAGAAGCCTATCACCTCTGACAAACATCAACACCAATACTGCATCTTCATAGAACCCTTCTAGCTCTGCAAGTCACATGCATTTCTTCCCACAAATGCCAGCAATTCTATGATCCCTAAAAGTTTGAAGAACCAACCATGAGACCATCTGTAAATCCTTGCCCAAGAGCTTGTTTCTGACAAATCAGCAAGTACTGTCAGATACAAGCTTTATATATACATATAATGTACAGATGTTAAGGCCTCACTTGAGCTCACTGAAGCATTACTACATACCTAAACACTGTTTTCAAGCCCAAGCACTACTGACTGTAGCATACAGCCATCCCCCAGGTTCTTCATTTGGTATTCCTCGGGTGTGTTTCCACAGACAACATGTACCTGTTCTGTCACCGAGATATGTATGCAGAGAGAAACAAACCTTGGCTGTTCCATTTCAGATGGTGTTTGTCCCTACACTGTGAGGACACAGACTTGTACAGGGGAAGATTAAAGTAATACAGTAACGGCACTCTTTGTTCCCTGCCACACTCGGTATGCTTACTGTACCACTTAATACTGACACCGTGTATTTTTAAAAGATGGCATCACTTGTGTACCAAGTGATCCCAGTACCTTCCCCCACATAAGAACTGCTGGATGTCAGTAACATCAACTGCGATTAGAAGATCTTCCTTCCACAAACAAGCCTTGCAGAATCTCAATTAAACTCTATTTTTAATTAAAAAAATAATACAAGGGTACCTAAGACTCAGTGTGCTTCCTTGAGGTAAATGTGAGCAATGAATTTGGAAACTCTCCATTAAAGCATAAAGTAGAAAAAACAGCATTTCTTAAGATAGATAACATCTGAATCTTCATACAGCCCTCAGCATCTCTCTTCCAGGAAAAAGAAAAAAAAAAAAAAAAGAGGAAAAGCTGCTGTAATCCTACAGATCTACCTGCTTCCTTCTTCAGGAAGTTTTGGCTGAAGTTACTTTTAACTCATAGTCAGTAAAATATTTAAAGGCATCTTATTGTTGCTTGACCATTCAAACAAACTCAGCTGAGACCTGCCATCTCAACACTACTTCCAGATGTTGATACAGTTTTGAGAACACGAATTTTAAACATAAATTATTTTAAAGATATCTAAGAGAAAATTGAAATTATGATTAAAAGCTCCCCATTTAGCATTCATCTAAAGAGTTGATGATGCTTACTGCAGATTTGCTAGGCCTTCATTACATCTTAAGGTGATTACTTCCTGCCTTCCAGTGCTTTAAGATACTTACAAACTTTGTGTTCTGAAAATGCTTCTTTATTATTCACTACAATGGCCTGCATTTGAATAGAAAGGAAAAGACATCCAACTATGAAGGTTTTCAATTTTTTTAAAAACAAAGTATATGTGTATCATGACAGCCACTGCAGACGTTTAACCCGCAGTTCCCAGGACAGGGCCTTCAACCAATCGATGAAACGGCGGCAGATCGCCACGCGTGCGCCGTCATCCCCCCGTCACCACTGATGGGCACCCAACGTGACAGAGATGCCCCTGACCCA